AAATGTCTGACACCCAAAATTAAGAAAGGAAAGGTTTATTTAGCTCACAGTTTGTGGAGGTTTCAATGCATAATCAGCTGGCTTCTAAGCAGGGTGGCATGGCACAGGGGTAACACTTCAAGGGGGTAGAAAACAGAAAAAGCAGCAAGAGCAAAAATGTGATATAGAACTCACAATCTCCATGTGCCCCTCTTGCATAGGATGAGGATATTTACAAAGTGAGGCCCTTGGCTCCCTGTTGAATTAAACTTCTGGACTTTTCTAGTTGATACAATGTATCAATCACTATAATACAATTGGCAACCGGACACATTTCTTTAAATTGGTCTCCAGATGCAGATATGCTTATTCTGATCATTTTCTAACTTGAATGTTACAACACAGGTTTAATAATCCTTAAGAACCAGTATTAAGTTATCATTATATAACATTATATACATTATATACAAACAAGGGACTACAAAAGAAGAGGACTGAAGCAAGTTCAAAATCCAGCAGGGTAAACAGCAAGTCCTGTAGTTCCATGTCTGGCATCTGTAGCAATCTGTGGCAAACTGAGATCTAAAGGACTCGAGTGACTCCAGTCCTATGGTACTGCTGGTTGTTGTAGCTCCCATGGCTTCTCTCTTAGGCCTTCTTTGCTCCCTCCTTGCAGCTTTCTTTAGATGATCCACCTTCCTGGCTTTTCCAAACTTCTGGGGTCTCCACTGCACCTTTGGCATCATCCCTATAGCTCCATACATTGCCTTCCCAGGCCTGGCCTCCCAAGTCTTTTGAAATCAGGGTGGAAACCACCTTAACCCCACACCTCTTGCATTCTGAATGTATCTAAAGTCAGTGCCATGTGTATGCTGTTAAAATCTGCTGCTATATGGAGCAGTAACTGTGTATTCCTCTCACTTGGCTGTAGGGGTCAAGTGTCTGGACCACTGAGCATTCTGAATCCAATTTGCTATGCTGCCACTGTTCTGGAACATGGTGCTCTGCAGGTTTCTCTTCAAAGCAAAATCTTTCACTTTTGCAGTTTTGGGGCTGCAAATGTTGGGACTTGCTGCTTCTTGTAATGCCCTCAGGCCATCCTTTCTATTCTCTTGTTCCTTCTCAGCAATCAAGATATCCTCTGCTCTACCTTGATAGACTAAAGCTTTACTGGAGCTTCCTTTTTGCCCAAACTCATAATTTAAATCATCCTGCTGGATTCTTTGCTCTTGATTTTCAACACAAATCTAGCTAAAAGCTCCCAACAATAGCCATGCCACTACCTCAACATTCAGATGCCTTGAAATTTCTTCTGCCAAATTAATTAGTCTGCCACCCTTATTCTCAGTCTCAGGCAAAGTCTCTGGACAGGAGTAAAATGAAGACACACTTTCTGCCAAGTTATAAAAACACACATAATCTGGAATTCAACAGGCAATGCAGTCCTTCTTCCCAGCAGGAACCTCCTGAGTCTGGTTTTACTAAGCAGGATTTTTACCAGCCTCTTGATCTTCTGAGGTCTGACCAGAATCTCCCATACAGGATAGCCTAAGGAATTCCAGGATGACTCTTTGAGGAGAGTCATCTCCAAACTTTTACAACCTCTTCCCGCAAGCCATTCCCAAAGGCTCTCAAACCACATGATCAGGTAAAGTCAGAGCAAATAACCTCATTCTTGGTACCAAATTCTGTCATGTTTTCTCTCTTTGCTGGGACAAAATGCCTGACACTCAAAATGAAGGAAGGAAAGTTTTATTTAGCTCTCAATTTGTGGAGGTTTGGTTCATAATCAGCTGGCTCTAAAGCAGTGAGAGATGGCACCGGGGCAACACTTCAAGGGGGGAGGAAACAGGAAAAGCAGCTAAAGTAATAAGGGTGTGCGTGGGGATGTAGCATTCACAGTCTCCATGCCCTCTTCTTGCACAGGATGAGGATGTTTACAAAATGAAGTCCCTCTTCCTGTTGAGTTAAACTTCTAAACTTTTCAAGTTGACATAATGTGTCAACCATTACATTATGCATGTTGGTTATTGTGTCTAGCAAAGGGAAGGCTGATTAATATAAGTTGTTTTTGTTTTCTCCCACTGAACCTTATTGAGAAAATCATCACCAAAAAGGCTCTAGTTTTTAATACTGTACAGAGAGAAACAGAACTATTTTCCTTCCTTTGATGAGCTTACACTGTAAGACAAAGAGCAGATAAATCCATATTTATCAAGGAAGTAGAGCATAGTTGAAATATGTACAGATCACAGGGTGGAGGACAGATATGGAGAAAGTAGAATAAAAAGTTACAGGGTTGAACACCCAAAATTAATGATGCAAAGAGAAGTAATTAAACTAGGATACCCACAACCAAGAAGAAAAAAGAAATTAGGGGAAAAATTTTGTAAGTTTGGAAACTGAAAGCATAGTCAACAAAAAAATAGATACATTGGGCATTATCAAAATTGCAATCTTGTCTACTGTCTTTACTTCTCTCATTTCTGAGACAAAACGCCTGACATTTGAAGTTAAAGAAGGAAAGATTTATTTAGCTTACAGTTTTTAGAAGTTTCAGTCCATAGTTTTCTGGTTCCAATGGAAGGTGGTATGGCAAAGGGGCATCACAATAGAGAAACAGTTCATGGCAGGCAGAAGGTAGTAAGCAGCAAGCCAAGTCAGAAACCACCAAGGTGACAAGCAAGTAATGAGCAACAATAACAAGCAATGAGCAGGGACTCTTCCTGGCCCTTATATCTTACCCCTCAGGGTTGTTGAAATGGTTGATACATTATATCAGCTTGAGAAGGTCAGAAGTTTAACTGGAGTGATTCAGCAGGGGGGCTGAATTTACTTTGTAAATATCCTCAGCCTGTGCAAGAGGAGGGCACAGAGTTGTGTGAGTGCTACAGTCACCCAAGGGGAGTAACCTGCTTAGAATATAAGAGAGGAAAAAAGGCTTGTTCTCCCCTTTTTTGCTCTTGCTGTCTTCTGCTGCCTTGAAGTATTGACTCTGTGCCATGCTCTGGAGCCAGCTGATGATGGACGGAAATTTCCACGAACTGTGAGCTAAATAAACTTTTCCTTTCTCAATTTTTGTTGTCAGACATTTTGTCCCAGCAACAAGAGAACAGTAATTAAGACCGTTGTGTACCCTTAATTCTACCTAGAATTATGCCAAACCTGTCAGTGGACTGATTTGGTAATCACACACCCTTAATCTCAGCATCACACACTACATTCAGCCACCTCTGAAAAAGTCTCACTTATGTCCACAAGAGGCCTTGTGGAAAATCTAGACACAAGGCAAGACATGCATCCAAGGATTAAATATCAAAAGAGTGAAATGAAAGTCTATAGGATAGGAGAAAATACCTTCAAATAATATGGGATAAGGGATTAATATCCAGTATATATAAAGGATTAAAATTCGACACACAAGGTTAAAAAATAGGTGAAGTACTTGAATAATAATTTCTCCAATGAAGATTCACAAATATCTTACAAGCACATAAAAGATGTTCAACATCACTAATTCATTAGATAAATGCAAATTAAGCCATAATGATATATCATTTCATTTCCATCGAAATGAATAGTTATAAAACAAGGAATCAGAAATAACAAATGTTGGTGAGGTCATGGAGCTATTGAACACTTGTGCACTATTAATAGGAATATATAATGGTGCTGACTCTGTAGAAAATTGTATGGCAGTTACTAAAAGATTTTAAAATAGATATTATCCAATCAGTTAAAGTTCCACTGTTGGGTATATGTAAAAGAAATAAAAGCAGGAACTCAAACAGGTATTTTTAGATCCAGGTTTGTAGCAGCATTATTCATAATAGCCAAAAGTAGAAACAACTCCAGTGTTTATTAATGAAATGATAAACAAAATGTGGTATGGACACACCATGCAATAGTATTGAGACTTAATGATAAATTCTCACTCATGCTACAACATAGATGAATTTTGTAGACATTCTGCTAGGTGAAATAAGTACTCACAAAGGATAAATAATATGTTGTTCCACTTTTATGAAGTAACTGCAATAGTCAAAATAGGGGCAGAAAGTAGAATTCCTGAAGTGGAATTGCTGGGTTATGATAATTTGTTTTTAACTTTTAACTGATGTATTGTTTTCCACAGAAACATTTTAAAAATGTTTAGAAAATGTTTAAATTTTAAATGTTTAAATGTTTAAAATTTTAAAAATTTTAAAAATAGGATAGTCAAATTCATAGAAGTCGAAAGTAGAATGGTTATCAAGAAACTGGGGGAGAGAGTGAGAACTGCTATATAACAGGCACAGAGTCTCAGTTAGAGAAGAGGAAAGAGTTCTGGCCTGGCACACATTTGTAATCCCAGCACTGAAGGAGTCTGAGGCAGAACTTTGAGTCTCACCTGTGAAACTTAGTATGACTTTGTCTCAAAGTAAAAAAAATAGAAAGGGGTGAGGATGGAACCCAGTGGCAGAGCAGCTGAAATTCAATCCCCAGTAGAGGGACGGTAAGTTCTGGAGATACATGACAGTAATGCTTACATAATAATATACTAAGTGCCACAGAACTGTACACTCAACAATGGTAAATTATATGTTATATATTTTTATCACATTGTTAAAAAGCAGAGAAAATCTAAGAGGTAGGTTTTCATTAGGAAATGGTGGTGCTTGGTAAGATAGGGAGAATGGAAGAATTAAGAGACTGAAGAAAGACAAATGGAAGAGATGTTTTTGAGAAGCTTTGAAATGGGTTTCATTATATGAAAGTCACTTATCTTTAATCTTTCAAGAAAGCAAGCACATACATGTGTTTACTTTATGTAGCATTATTTTTCCTTAAATGAGAATAATACATGTGTGAAGTGTTGATGTCACATATTATGCTCAAGGCAGAATTTAATGATCCCGTACATCCATGTTTAAATCTCTGATTTAACTCTTCAGTAGGACATTTTTATCCATTTACAATGTAAAATAATAACATCATTTGGGAACTGGCATGCATGAAGTAATTGTCCAGGTTAACTTCTATTAGTTTACCATATATTTTTATTGCCGTGCTCTTCCCTGTGACATCACATAAAAATTGCATTCAATTATGGAAGATAATCTGTTGAGAAGAAATGCCAATGATGTTTTTAAAAGAGTTGTGAGCCCTGGAATGCTTTGATTTCAAAGTAATTAATTCCAAGGGGAACTTTTCTGACATGAAATAGTGAGGTTATTTGGTCATGAGAGTAGTCATGAAGGAAAAAAAAAAACATGAAGCACAATTCTTTCATTAAATTGGCATTGCATCAGGAAAAAGAACTTAAAAATGATTGATTGCAAATATAATGTAGGGGATAGAAGCATCTGGTTCAGGCATAAATAACAAAGGCTCTTCAACATATGGCACTAATTTGAGTTTATGCCTCTGTGATCCCACCTTTCAAACTGCTGTGTCTTTCTCAGGATGAGCTGCCTGAGGTGTCGGCGGGAATCAGGTAGAACGGGGGAGAGTCAGTATCTTCCTGGTCTCTCTCTGTGAGGAGGAAATGTTCTGTATTAGTGCATGCCGTGTCCCAGGTGTTTGTCTCTGGCCCCAAATCATCTACAATCACAATTGCAAAACCAAGAATAAGATGGTTTTAAGTCTAGTGGCTTTGATTAGAAATTGGACTAAAAGCATTGAGGCAGAAACATTTCAAAGGTTTAAGTTTACTCCATTTCTAATGCAAAGCTGAAAATCTAGCTTTTACAAAGCACAAAAAAACAAGGTTTTCTTAAGTCTGAAACTCCACACCAAAAGGAATTAAGACTGTTTAGCTATAGCAAAACCACAGAAGACCAAGCATTCACTTCCAAGTTTGTGGCATCAAATGAATATTTCTTTCATTGGTGACGCTTAAAGGAGAGTTGCAAAAGTGTCATTCTGGCTGTCTATTCCCAGATGCACACCGTGAGGTGTATATCTGATTGAGATTTACTCAGCACTCAGTAGTTACCTGGAGCCTGGACTCTGGGCTCTGCACTCCACTCCTGTCAACTCACAATAAGAAACCAGGAAAATATACATCTGCAGAGAGAACTACAGATGTCCAGGAGACCTGAGGTAATAGACATGTTTCCTGTGTGTATTGGGCATGTGGCTCCTCCTGCTTTCAGAATATGCCACATTGAAATCTGTCTTCCTTCGGTTTTTTGAGAAAAGGGTTCTTTCCCATGGAATAATCCTGAATGCTTCACTCTGGGTCTGACACTGATGGTTAGCTTGGTAACTCAGCCCATGACTTGCATAATTTCTCAAAGACCTTGCAGTTCTTGGAGAATCAGTCCTATTTTCATGAACAGCCATCCTGTCTTCTTACAAGAAAAACTGCTCAACTTTTCATGACCCTTCCTCATGAGTCTCATTTTTAAATTAAATTTTTCATAAAGTAAAACAAACAGTGGCTCTCTATGCTGACTAGTTTCCTGCCAGCTGCCTTCCATACCTGAGCAGAGTCTCAGGTGAGTTTAAGCATCCAGGGCTCCACATGAGCTCTTCCCAACCTTAAGATGTTTTATGTAGATTAGTCTGATGTCTTTTCATGTTTCATCTTCATTGCTAACATATCTGAATGCTCCTGACAGTGAAACTCCCCGTCTCTGTTTGTTGAGGACAAGAGTCTCTATCACATTTGGTTGTTGTTTTCATTGTTTTTATTTGTTTGCTTGTTTTTTGGAGACAGGGTCTCACTATGTAGTTCTGTAGCCTTAACTCACTCTGTAGCCTTGACTGGCTTTAAGCTTGCAGTGACCCTTTAGCCTCAGCTTCCCTAGTGCTAGGGTTACAGCGTGCCACCATATCTGGGTTCCACCTCATGCTTTGACCACAAGAAACACAAGCAAATAAGTTAGTGAATTTTTTTCTTTCTCAGAAACAGCTCATGGAAAATAGTGTTTCAAGACAGTGTAAATACAGAATCTAACTCCTCCACTTCATCCATACTTGAAAAATCTCATGTTGATATATCTAATGAATTTTAAAAGGCTGATTTTAGCTCAAAATTTCAAATTAGGAAGTTCATCTCATATTCTAAGGATATCTTCCCAAAGATTTATAATCTCCACAAAAATCTATCTTCTAGATAACTGGTGAAATATCAGTTTTGGGCCCGTAAACACTCCCCTGCTACAGGGAATGCAATCAACCAAAATACAAACAGACAACACTTTGGTGCCCATGGATGTTATAATGGAATTAGCACGTTTCTCTGTAAAGATGAAGACTGCTAACTAAAACAATTTCATTTCTCCGGGAGACAACGTCTCTCAGAGAGCAATATCAGAATAGACTGTGATAGGGAATAATTCAGAGGACTGCCGTAGATTGAATGTGGCATGTCCTCCAAAGGCCCGTAGGAGATGGCGGAGTCTAGAAGTGGACCTTACTTGGGGTTCTTAGCTCATTGGGGCATATCCTTAAAGGGGATACTGGGACTTCAGCCCCTTTCTCATGTCCTCTTATTTTTTTAAAGAATAAAACTTGAAGGGACATATTCTAGCCCTGACTTTGCCTGTCTTCTAGGCAACATTGGGCATTTGTTGATTGTCCCTACATTTTTTGTTATCCTTTTTTTTTCTTTATTTTATTTTACACTGGAGTATTTTTCTTTTTTTTCTTTCTTTTATTTTAAAGAGAAAAAAGAAATAACAGGAAAACCAAGAAACAAATAAAAACAACAATAACAAAAGTGAAACAACAACAACAACAAAGAACAATAGCTATATAGGTTTCCAAAACAAGATGATAGGAATTTAACAATGGTTTTATTATATTGCACATTGTTATCTTCAAAATAGTTGCTCAGGTTACCAGATACAGGCATAAAACAAAACAGTAAAATGGAATAAAACGGATTTCAAAAACAAGACAGAAGGAAATCCCCCCATAGTTGCTGTATTGCATATTATTATCCTCCAAATAGATACTCAGACTACCAGCTTTAGGCTTGCAAAGTCAATCAAACAGTACAAGCATTTAATGATGATTAGTATTTTTTTTTACTTCAGTTGCTATCATCTCAGCCTGACTTCCTATGAATCAGCCCATTGTTATGGGCTGGGGGAGCATGTTTGGGTGTTGTTCTTCTAGTCTCCCAGCTTGTGCACTGGGTGGCTCACAGGAAGGCATGGTTTGGCTTCTTGATTCTCTTTCTGTTCGCCATGGTGGCTATTCCTGGCTTACGGGAAGGCACGGTTTTCTCTTTTTTGGTTTTAATTTTAAAAACAAAAAAAATTAAAAAGATACGAATTTCAAAACAAAATAGATTGGGGGGCTGGGGATTTAGCTCAGCGGCATAAGCGCCTGCCTTGCAAGCAGGCAGTCGTGAGTTCGATCCCTGGTACCGATAAAAAGGAAAAAGACAAAACAAAACAAACAAACAAACAAAAAAACAAAATAGAATAACACTGGTTACTATATTGAGTATTGCCATCTTCAAAGAAGTTGTTCAGATTACAAAATATAGGCATAAAAATGATCAAACAATTGAACAGTGAAAGCACAAACTATCCTTTTTGATGAACTAGCAGAGACTAAAGAAAAAATAAAAACAATGGTAAAATATTTAAAAATAAGATTGTAGGACAGTAACAATTTTTCATACATTGTATATAGTTATTTTCAAAATAGTCGCTCAAACTATAGGCATGAAAAATTGATCAAACAGTCATCTCCTTTCTGCTTCCTAGCCACCATGAGGTGATCTGCTTTGTTCTACCGCGTAATCTTCCCCATGAAATATTGCCTCACCATAGGCCCAAAACAGTGTGTATAATAGACTGAAACCTCCAAAATTTGTGAGCCAAAATAAATATTTTCTTGTTATACATTTATTATTTCAAGAATTTTGTTACAGTAACAGAAAGCTAACTAATCCAAGGAGCAAGGATGAGTTGTGATGTATCTGTGTTAAACTCTGTATAACTGTTCTCATACTCGAAACTAAATTATATTGGTCCAATTTAGGAAAATGGATTGTTTGCACTTATTTCTGACAAAACTTTGGAAATGCCAAGTTACACATTTTTTTTTTATTTAAAGAAAAGGAAACAAAAGAATACATGGAGATAAAAAAGGGTAGAAATAATACAAACTTACAGAAAAACAAACGATAAGAAATTGCTGGTTGATAAGTTACACATTGTCATCTTAGAAATAGCTGTTCATGTTATAGAATTAAAGTATTTAGAATGACATTCATAAAGTGACACTACAAACCCTTCTGCTCTATGATCGAACAAGAGCTCAGTGATATGGTTATCAGTCCTACACATTTGTTTTACATCTCAAAGAGGGTAAGATTAAACATATCAAAACAGAACAAAGCAGTTAAAAAAACAATTTAAAGAAATACAGATTTCGCAGAAAGCCCACTGGACATCTTCATTGTCTATCTAATTGTCTCTAGTTTCTTACAAATAGTTGTCCCCATCTTCACCCACCTTATATACTTATTGTATATTATAGAACTAATCAAATCATTGGAGGCTTTTTAGGTCCTCAAGTTCCAAATTAGGGAAGACAATAGTAACTACCATCCCATCTCTCATTCTCTTTGTGATAGCTGTCCCCATCTCTACCTATGCTGAAACTGAACTCAAGAAACCAGTCCAATGTCATTCTAATCAGCGAACAATAGTATTGCTAGAATTTCTATCATAATGCTACAAAATTAGCCTCGGGTTTCTTAGCGTCTCTTCTCAGAGTATCTGTTCATTACATCTTTCATTATATAATCTGTTCCCGTAAATAATTAAAAAGAAGAAAAAAAACCCCATGTGTGAATTTCTACATATATATCTATCCTCTCTGTATTATAGGGAATACCAAGTCATAGCAAGACAGCAAAACAATTTCCTAGCAAAACATGCAATGGATAAGACATATAAGACCACAGTATAGATGATCTTCCGTAGTTACTATGTTTTCTCTTGTTATTTTCAATAGATTTGACTACCACACTGGCTTATTATCATTAAATATAGTATCACCTATTTTTATAAACACTTAACTTTGACAGCATTGTAGGATTTGAGAGCTGTTACTAATTAATACCAGTATGGATATCCTTTACATCTTGTCATCCTCAGAGTAGTTGCCTCTACTTTTAGAGTTGATACTAACAAGCATACCAATTTCAAATAAAATCAGCCATGGCCAACCCATAGTCTTATGATTCAGATTCAATTAAGATCAGTCACAGTAAGACAATGTAAGTATTGTAGGATTTCAGTTTAAGTTCATAGGAAAGTAAAGATAGTTACCATGGTATAACCTGCTATTTTTGGGTCAGATGTCTATGCCCTCAAATCTGACATGAGTGGACAGCCCAGTATATATTAAATTCAAACTAAATATGTCAATAAGACTACTATGTCTTTTAAATCCTTATATACCATTAACAATGACCTCTGCCTTTTTCTTTTTTTTTATAGAGTTTCAGCTCTGTCTATACTAAAGACTATCGCTTACTGTCTCTGCCTCATGTCTGCTAC